ATTGTCATGTACAACATGAAATTAATACTTTTTAAATAGTAGGTTAACCTCTTTATCTATAGTAAAGCTTTTGCTTTAAATATTGTATGTTTGGTATTGTTTTTGTTAATCTTTCCCTGGGATATATTTTTTCAGTCACTTATTTAAAACATTCTGTGCCTGTATAGTTTGGTTATAGCTCCTCTATTCCGTATGTAACTGATTTTTAGAAATCTAACGTGATGTAATATTTGTCTTTCTCTGACTGGCTTATTTTACTTAGCATAATAATCTCCTGGTTCATTCATGCTATCTCAAGTGGTAAGAGATCCTTCTTTATTACTGCATTGTGTATATGCACCACAGCTTTTTTTATCCATTCATCTACTGATGAGCACTTGCCAAAAAAAAGACAAATATCATATGATCTCATTTATGTGGAATCTAATGAACAAAATAAACTGATGAACAAAATAGGTCCAGAGATATGGAAGCATGGAACGGACTGACACATTTCAGAAGGAAGGGGCAGGGGGCATGGAAAAGATTAACCAAAGAACTTACTGGTATGTGCATATATGCATAGTTCATGGACACAGACAATAGAGTGGTAAAGGCCTGGGGTGAGGTGGGAACCAGGTGGAGAGGGGCAAAGGGGGGAAAATGGGTGACATCTGTAATACTTTCAACAATAAAAATAAATTTAAAAAAATGTAATGTGATGACCTCTGTGTTTCGATAATGCTGTAGTCACTGTGATTCCTGAGTGCTGGATTGTGTCTGCCATCGCATACCATTACTTCTAATTGTCCTGCTTTGTATATGTTTGTTTGTTTCAATTTTTTGTCTTCTTTGGAATGCTTTTTTTTCATTCCATGTTCTTCCCTCTTCTAGTTTGGATATTATATGCTCTATTTCAGATACTTTTGGTGGCTACGTAACTAAATTTTTGTTTTCAGCCACTTGTACAAAAGTTAAAACACGTTCTTGGTCACAGAGACTCCGTACATGTCGCTAGGGCAGCTGTTTGTGTCAGAGCTGTGTTACCTCTCTGAATTACTGCTCCTATTTCATTTTTCTCCTTTGAGGATCTCCATACATTCTCTCCAACTCAAACACGAATTTAAAAAGTATTCTTTTAAATATTTTCCAGCATGTGTGGCAATAGAATTTTTCAGGATATTTAGTCCTCACCATGAACTTGTTTGTAAATTTATTTTTTGTTTTTTCTTAAAATGGACTAAGACAAATATATATAATCTTTCCATTAAGCAAATATGCATTGGCTACTGTTAAGGAGGTATATGTCTTCACTATCTTGCCAAACTATTCGTTTCTAATTCAATTTACTGTTTGGTAGAAGAGAGATGTCATTTATAGAAATAGTAATAATATATGGTAAACAAAAACAAAGATGAAGTAGCTTATCAATAACCAAGTGAAATGCTATGAGATGGCAATACAGTTAGGTTTCATCTCAGTGGTCAGTGTCCTGCACACATATCCTATCTAATAAAAGAGAAACATGGTAATTAGCGTACGACCGCTACCCTTCCCATTGGCTAATCAGGGCAATATGCAAATTAACTTCCAGCCAAGATGGCGGCCGGCAGCCAGGCAGCTGGAAGCGAACATGAGGCTTGCTTGCTTCAGTGACAGAGGAGTCCAACGTTCCCCGCCTGCCTTGCCGGCCTCTGAGCTTGCAGTTTAAGAAACATTGTAACAAATATAGAAGCTAAACAAAACCCCAGAAACCTGCTTTCAGCCGGCCAGGATCTCAGAGCTGGAGTTGATACAGTGTTTCGATTATAGAACCTAAACAAACCAGATACTTGCTTTCAGCAGCAGAGGCCTCAGAGCTGGAGCCAGAGCTAAACCTGACCCAGAATAAAAAAGAAAAAAGAAAAAAAGGAGCAGTTGGGAGCTTCAGTCACCCTGAAAACAGCCCTCAGCCCCTCACCCAGACTGGCCAGGCACCCCAGTGGGGACCCCCACCCTGAAGGGTGTGTGACCAGCTGCAAACAGCCATCATCCCCTCAACCAGGCTGGCCAGGCACCCCAGTGGGGACCCCCACCCTGATCCAGGACACCCTTCAGGGCAAACCAGCCAGCCCCACCCATGCACCAGCCCTCTATCCTATATAGTAAAAGGGTAATATGCCTCTCAGCACTGGGATCAGCGGAGCCGCGAGGCCTCCCGGCACCGGGATCAGCGTGACAGGGGGCAGCACCCAAACCCCCTGATCATCCTGCAGCTCTGTGTGTGACAGGGTGCGGCACCTCAACCCCCTGATTGGCCCTGCTCTGTGTGTGACAGGGTGCGGCGCCCCAACTCCCCCCCTCCCCACGGGCCCTGCTCTATGTGTGACAGGGTAGCGCCATAACCTCCCCATCGGCCCTGCCCTGAGTGTGACAGTGGCGGCGCCCCAACCCCATGATCGGCCCTGCTCTGTGGGTGATAGAGGGCGGAGCCCCAACCCCCTGATCCGCCCTGCCCTGAGTGTGACAGGGGAAGGCGCCCCAACTCCCCAATCGGCCCTGCTCTGAGCCCGACCAGGGGCTGCACCTAGGGATTGGGCCTGCCCTCTGCCACTCGGGTGCAGGCCTAAGCCAGCAGGTCGTTATCTCCCGAGGGGTCCCAGACTGCGAGAGGGCACAGGCCAGGCTGAGGGGCCCCCCCACCCCCCCAAGTGCACAAATTTTTGTGCACTGGGCCTCTAGTATTGTATAAATGTTTCCTGAAATAGATTGCCTTTTAATTGGGCCTTATGGAATGGATAAAAGTCTTGTTTGAATTTAATAAAAGAGAGAGACTTTCAATTTCAAACCATTATATCCCAGTATAAAGCATACTATCAGGAGTTGTCAAATGGCCTATCATCTGTTTTGGAAATAAAGTTTTATTGGAATTTAGTCACATTTATCATTATGTACATTTCTATGCTATAATAGTAGAGTTGAGAAATTGCAACAGAAATTATGTGGCCTGCAAGTTCTAAAATATTTACAACTTGGCCTCTTACCATATATTTTGCCTACATCCATACTAAATTGTGTTCTGTAATACAAAATAAGTTTATAGGGAAGCTTTTTCTTGAGAGCTTGTTTGGAGGTTCTAGCAGGGGAGCGCAGCTACTCGTATACCCTTGACCGAAGACCGGTCCTCTCCTCGGGGGGGAAGGTCGTCCTCTTCGACCGAGCGCGCAGCTTCGGGAGGGACGCACATGGATCGGTGAGGGAGGAGGGGGACACCCGCCTAGCCAGCCAGATCAGCCGAATCAACCCTGGCGATCAATGGGGTGACAGATGTCGCAGCCAGATCGCCCTCACATCCGGGAAGCTTTTTCTTTAGTTTAGCTTTCTTCTCTTTTGTATTTTCTTAAGTGGATTTGATTTGGTGGTTCTCACAATAAATACTAATTCATGGACTCCCTCTACGCTTAAAGTCTATTTCTGTTTCTTTGATTTGAGGTATGTTTTTACTCCTACTCCTTAATAATTATTTTCTTTAATACAAGTTTTAAGATTTTCAGTGCTGTTTTGTATGGTTACTTTTTAAATAGTAGATACCCACAGTTCTTTTTTACTCTGCTATGCTTTTTTTTAATGTAATGTATCCAATAACTTCAATAAATTGATCAAGTATTCTTGCATTTATCAAATAACATATCACTATATCCTTCTATAAACTGAAATTAACTAGTCTTTAAGTTGAAAAGGTTTCAGATTCTAAAGTACTTTATGTGCTTTAATTATGGGAATTAACTAGGGGAAAAATGTCAATGGGCAAAGCAGGAAAGGTATTTCAGAACTTTAAAAGTAATCAGTAAATTTCTGCTCAAAAGCTATTGATGTCAAAAGGAAAACATAATGCAGTGCTTCAAGTGCAGTGCTTGGACTTAACTTACTTGGTTCAGTTTCCAGTGAGTGCCAGTTCCCCACGGCGATGTTAGATGTGGTGGGTCAAGCTAACTGCCTGAGTGAACAAGAGCATGTATGTGTGTGCTCCGTGTCCTAGGGAATACTCACGCCCAGCAAGCGAGCTCTGATACTCAGATACATTTGATTAGTCACTTCCCAGGAGCTTCTCTTTTGGTGTAATAGCCAGTGACTGCTGGCTAGGCTTAGGATGACTCTTTCAGTTCTCATTTACAAAACTAAGGCATCCTTTCACTGGGGAGTCCCTGGATATCCTAATGTTCTATACAGAACAGCTAATGGTTTCTCCTTGTAACGATTTAAGATTGAGGGATTTGAACCGATGTGGAGGGGAGGGGACTTGAATCATATTAACTGTAAATGTGGGGCATGTAAAAATCTGAATATTTATAAGGTGTGGTTTACAACATTTAATGTGACTTGGAAGAACCACCAAGTTAAAATGCATAAGCTATCATTCTGTATATTTTATCAAATACTTGAAGCAAAATACACAGTTTCTAGGAAGTAGGGGTGAAGGAAGATAACGTTGTAAAACACAGATTGCCTAGCAACATAGTTTAAAAGGTTTTTTTCCTCCCCAAGTATGGATCATACATAAATAATGGATTATGGAATCAATTTACTGTGACACTTTTGAAAGATAGTAATCAGTATTAAATTTAGAGTAAGATAGAAAATATCAGAGAACATCACATATAGTTATTAGGCTGAGTATTTTGCATAACTTTTGCTTCGATTATATACACACAGGAGTAGAAGGTGTTGAGACCTAGTTGAAATACTTTGAAAGCTGTCTGTCTAAAAGAGGCAGAGGCATGGAGCTGATACATGAATTCCACTGTTGGAAACAGAGTGATTCTATAGAGTCTGCTTACATCTGTGTGGTTCAGTGCAGGTAAAATTGGGACTAATAGAATACATGCTAATACATTTCTTACCTTTGTAGGTAAGATTATTGGAGAAGTTGCTTGGTATGTTTTGCTTTAGTTCAAGTAGCTATGACTCTATTCTGTTTGGAAAAAAATTTCTTTTTGTCTTCCATCATTTATTTAGTTTGCTACCATTCTCTCTTTTGCCAGGAGATTGCATCAACAATTTGAAAGCTATAAGGAACAAGTGAGAAAAATAGGGGAAGAAGCACGGCGTTACCAGGGCGAGCACAAAGACGATGCTCCGACTTGTGGCATCTGTCACAAAACAAAGTTTGCTGATGGGTGCGGCCACCTCTGCTCCTACTGCCGCACCAAATTCTGCGCCCGTTGCGGAGGCCGCGTGTCTCTGCGATCGAACAACGTGAGTATTCGGGGGGCGTGAGAGAAGTGTTGAATGTGGATACCAATCTGTAGCTTCCCAAGCAGAAATATTGCTTGCATGTTAGAGAGCAAACGCGTGCATAAATGTACAAGTGAATATGCCCCTCCCCATTTCCTTCTTTTGTTTTTCATAAGATTCACAGTAGTGCAGTAGTGATGAAAATAATTCATAAAAAGATCGTTTCTATATGTTGTATCTTTTTTAAAAATATATTTTTATTTACTTCAGAGAGGAAGGGAGAGGGAGAGAGAGAAAAAACATCAATGATGAGAGAGAATCATCCATCAGCTGCCTCCTGCTCGCCCCCTACTGGGGATTGAGCCCGCAACCTGGGCACATGCCCTTGACTGGAATGGAACCTGGGACCCTTTAGTCTGCAGGAGGAAGCTCAATCCACCAAGCCAAATTGGCCAGGGCTATATGTTGTATCTTAATAAATTATTCCCATTCAGAATCAACTGATTTATCTGTAGAAATCAATTTATTTTCTGAAGAATGCAGTAAACGTAGATATAGTATCATGAGTTGTAAAACTTGAAAGCTAGGGCCAGTTCTTGTAAAAAAACAAAATAAAACAAAAACCCCCTTTAGTTTCTGCAACATTGGTTTCAGATTGAATGAAGGTAAAATGCAAAGTAAACTGTATGACATTAAATGTAATGTAATTTCATATCATGTTAAAGAAATACAGTGCTTATTTTATCTCATGGAAATTATTCGAATTTTTAAAGAGCATGTTAAAGCATTTTAATGTGCCTTTTAAAACTTACTTGTTCTCTATGAGCTATAGTCTCAACTTGATGTAGTTTTCTTAGTTGCCTTAAATAACAGCTACTCTTCCATTATGCCAGTGCTTTAAATATATTCAAAATTTTGAGGCAATAAGATGCTAATATAAGGGACTTAATATTATACTTTGTGAAGTACTAGATTAATTCTAATAAGTATTTAGTTTAGAACACATTTTAATGTTGTACTTTATTATATTTCAAATGTTGATACAATGGAATTATTTATAGGGATGTCTGTAAGAGTTTTCTTTGATACAGATCTTCAATGTATTGTAGAAGTTAAGGTTATCACAGACAATAGTGTGGTGAAGGCCTGGAAGGGGGGGAGGGGTACAAGGGGCCAATAGGGGAAAAAGAGGGGCATCTGTAATACTTTCAATAAAAAGATAAAATTTAAAGAAGATTATCATATACCTAAATAATTCCCGTTGTTTGTTTAAAGAATTTCACATATTATCTAATCATGTATAAATTTTAACGTAATACAAAGTTATAATTAAAAATAACTTTAGGCACTTTTGATATCTTCCTAATTTGGAAAATCACTGTTAAAATTACACTGAACCTCCCAATCAGCATTGTATTTTTTGGTAGTGTACTTAAGTAGTAGGTAGGGTATTCTAACAACTTTTCCGGTAGAATTAAGGCATTCAGTAAAATAGATATTATACTTTAACGTGAGCCTACTATTATCTCTGTGGCCTTGGGAAGATAATTCAATTAAAATTGTTAAAATTAGGTTCTTTATGAAATGTATATTTTTATGTTTTATTCTTATAGCCACATAAGTTTTCGTTTTTACTTCTAAAAGTTCTATGCCACCTTAAAGGCTTTCTAGAACAACCTTGAGTTAAGGTATTGTCTGGCACATAAAAAGTGTGCAAGACCTATTTGTTAATTTTCCCTTATTTGGTATTCTTAAACATACTGTTTTGGAATGAATTCTCACAAACCAGACCTGGGAATGATATTTTAGGGTGCAAATCAGCTGAGTGCTAATGCTGACTGAGTGTGTTTAATTTCCTATTATAAGTTTGAGGCAAACTAATATAAATATAGTTAAACATTTATATTTTAAAATTATTAGGGTTAAACTCATGTTTTAAAAAGGAAAGGTGTTTAAAGAAAATTGAGCTAGGAGAGAATGCTTTAGAGTAAACAGTCTGTCCTAATGTAGTTCATCCATTTTTACTAAACCCAATCCAATTTTGGAAAAAATATTAAAAAGAATAAAATTTTAAAAAAACACACACAACTTAAACTATTTAATCTTGAACATAAGACAAAAAATGTAAAAAGTTGTTTTTTTGTATGATAGTTAAATGTTAAAATGTGTATTACAAATAAATGTTGCTTGTGGAATAATTTATGGTTAAAATAAAGTATTTTTTTAACTTTTACTTATTATAAACATTTCCCATTCTTAGATTTTTTTCAATTTGTAACTATAAATATTTTAATACTAATTTTATAAAATTATTCATACAAATGCATTTTAATGTATCCTTTAATAATAGGTAGACTATGTTAGTGAATTAAGCTTTCTTTCTTAAGAATGTTTTAAATGTTTATTTCATAATCCAATTTCTAAACATTTTAGAAATTACAGTGCCCAACTTTTGTATCTAGCATATAGCAGGATCCATATATGTGCATTTTCAATGAAAGATTGAACAATGACTATTTGGAGGGAAGAGTAAACATTTAATTTTTAATATATGTACCTGTGTTTTAACACTTAAGAGTGACATATAATTGTTTTTCTTAAAAATCTATTTATTAATATGTGCCTTATTTTTGTTTTTCTCTTCCTCTTTTTCTTCTTTCTTTATTCTGCTTCCTTGGATGCTTACACAAAGGAGGACAAAGTGGTTAGAATCCATGATTTCTTTTCTATCACTTGTTATATAATGTTGTGAACTTTATTAAGTGAATGTTTCACCTAGTATTATTAATCACTATATTTCACAAAGAAGTTATATGCTAGAAGGAGCGCATTCCCAGTTCTCATGGGGAAAAATAATAAAATGAATATCTAGGAACATTACAGAGTTTATATTAATAGGTAAAGTTTGATTAGTTTCCATTCATCGGAATGGTGATTTTAATATAATTTAAACCATTATGAACTTATATGTCCTCTTAGCTCTCTGATTTTTGATGATGATTCCGTCTGCTGTCAGGAGCAATAAAGTCTAAGGGACTTCACCTTTCTCAGCACTCGGTAGATGCAGAGGTAGATGATTTGAAACTTTACTGAGAAGGAATGGAATGAACTGACTTAGTGAAGATAATGGATGTAATTTAAACCAAGAGCTCAAAAAAGTGATTTTTCTATAGAACACAAGTAGCAGAGTTGTCATATTAAACCACATTATATACCATTTTCTTCTCCCTCGTGCGTAGAAATCACGCCCGAGGGGAGTGAAAGGTCACTTTGAACTCTCATCTGCTGTAGAAACCACAGAGGCTGTGCTCGGGAAGATAGGGTCCAAGTGGAACCTTCAGTCAGCCTGTCCTTTGAGTGTACACTATACGCTTTCATTTGGTGTAAATTACAATTTCTCCATAGCTCATTGAATTCCCAATATGAGACTGAGACAGTGAGTATTTGGGGTTCAATATATCAACTCAGCTGCCTTTGTTCAACTGTTTTCAAGTTTAAATGATGTACTGCAGTGCATAAGTAGCAAGCATGACATTGAATTGAACATTAAGTGTGTTTTAAAATTTGATGCTAGTATATGTTCAGCAGTTCTTTTCTGTGAAAAGGAAATCAGATTGAAAATTACCTAGTTTGTTTTCACTAAATGTGTTTGTCTTTACCAATAGTGGTACATGCGATCATTTGGGGGGCTTTATTTAATGTAAAACATACTGTGTTAGAAAAACTATAATTAGGATGTTATATCTTTGATGTCATGAATATTATTACTTTGGATGAGTCCACTTTAAAATAGATAATTTTTAATTCCTTTAACTAGTAAAAGTTTAAGTGAATAATAATGCTGGTGTTATGTGCACTTGGTGTTAAGACTTCAGCTATTCTTGCAGGGCTGGCCAGACTCATTGTCCCTTTAACAACACTTCCCATAATGGTAGGTTATTTGTGCTTATTATGGCAATGAGAGTTTAAGTGAACTTTGTGGTTTTCAGGCTAAAAATAGGGAGGAAATACCTGTAAAATACCATCACTTTTAGTTACTTTCTTCTCTTGATTAGAATGCATATATCAACCATTTATTTTTAAATAGTTTGTCATATGTCATAATTTTATTAAAAAGCTTTTAACCTATTGAGGTTGTTCAATGAATTGCATTTCTCATCAAGAACACTGAAGTCAGCTCTTGTCTTACCTTTGTTAAAATAACTGAGTATTAAACAAATTACTTAATTGGTGGTTCTTTCCCTATTTCTCTGAGCTCTTTCATTTTTGGTAGAGAAATTATAATTTACAGAGGTGTGTGTGTGTGTGTGTGTGTGTGTGTGTGTGTGTGTGTGTGTGTTGGTATGAGTAGAAAGGGAAGAGAATGGTACCTTTCTAAAGCAATCTCCTTTTGATCAATATAAGATTAATGAGTTCTACTTAGTTTTGCTGAATAAATGTGACTACAATACTAGTGTATATGATCTGATCTAAGCTTAGCTAACATAATTCTTCCTTTTATTAACTCCAACAAAAATTATTATTGATCTCATATTTTATATCCTGGCAGTGTTTTATTTTAAAACCACACTTAGCCTGAAACAAATCTAACAATATCTTGGAAGCTTGTGCACTTACATATAAAGAAAGTGACTCTCATAAAGAATCACCTTGCATTTGACATAGGTAATAGCTTATAATAGGAGATTATTTTATACAAGTTCACACTCTCATAGGTAAAATTATGATCATTTACTTCATTGAAAGTCCTTCCAGCTGGTTTAAATTGACTTTGTCTTTTTTACTCTCTATTTGGTGGCAGAATATTGAATTTAGATAACTCTTTTGATAACATTAGCACTTTGCTGTTAAACAAACTGAATTGAATCCTCCAAATTCAGTCCTTTACTGGTTATGATTATCTTTAGTATTTTTTTTTGTGGGGGGGACAGGGGATAGGGTGATTGATTTGTGAATACAGCAACTAAAAATGATCTTGCTACATTTCTAAATAAACTTTATTTTCACACAAAGAAGTGCCAGGCTTTATAAGGTAAGACTATTTTGTAATAAACATCAGCAATACTATGGAAAATAGAACACTACCTAGTTTTCTCATTCTTTCAAACTGTGAAAGATGCAGCTACAGTGGGGCCTTGACTTACGAGTTTAATTCGTTCCATGACGGAGCTCGTAACTCAAATTACTCCTATGTCAAATCAACTGTGAACGAGTGAGACACGTGATGCTGGGCTGATGTTGTGGCGATCACTGTGATGTTCACTGCGCCAGCTAGCGGTGGGGTATCTGAAGCTGGCTCGTAACCCGAATTTTAGCTCGCAACTCAAAGCAAAAAATCAGTTTGGAGACGGCTCGTATCTCGAAAAACTCGTTAGTCGGGACACTTGTAAGTCAAGGCCCCACTGTACCTACTTTTTAAACAAGTGTAAAAGATACATTTTTATATCAAGATAGTAACTATTGAGTCCTGCTTTTTAAAAACCGGCTCCTCGTGGCTTTTAATTGTTGTTTGCTTTTAGAAATCATTTTACCTGATGCATTGATGAAGCTAGTATAGTTTTGTACAAAAAGTTCATAAAAGACAAGGAGGGGTGAGATAGGACAGTGGGGAGTTTGTAACTGGACTTTTTTTTTTAATCATAAGTTGTTATTTATGGGATGATCAATTCTTAACAGCATAAAGAATTTTACCCTTACAGATTTTGCTCTTAAATAGCAAATTTATGATTTTTTTAAAAAAATCCCTTGCTAGGGTTAAAGAGAAGCAAGTCAATAGTAGAATAATAACCATTTTAAAAAATAGTTTGAATGATTGCATTAAATATTTATTCTTATTATGAAAAATTTTCTCTCAGAGTTACCCATATTTAGTCCATGGCATGATGAAGTATGTGATCGTGGTTTTCAAACTTCATTCTTTTGAGAAAAGCATCTATAAAAGTTTTCCTGGACCTACTTTCATGTTCTCTTTTTATTTTTCTAGATGATTTGACAATGATTTCTCTGCAAAAATGTCCTATTAAAGAGTCTTTCCAGAAATATAATATAGGCCTAAGGAGGGAAGTTTATAACTATAGATAAAAATATCAATAAGTAAATGTTAGGGTGGATCAAGGAGAGAACTTTCTCTAAGTAATTTAATAGTTTAGCTTTCTCAAGGTGTCTCTTCTCATTTTGTTGTGCTTGTCATAGAGGGTAGTAAAACGTCAAACTGTAAAAACTTTTATGTTGGGTAATTCAGAAAGTTGTAAATTTTTTATTCCAATTCTGTTTTAGGAATTTGCTATATTGTTTTTCAAGGGCATGGAATTTTAATTTCTTATTATTCTTATTATTCTGGAAATGTTTGCTAATAGTCAATAATCATTAGGAAGTTTATGGTTCTTGTTTTGCCCCCAACCTGAAATCATTGTTTAATACACTTTAAAAAATTTGTTTCTGGAAATTACAATTTCACAAGCCAGTGTTAAATATGGATGCATAGTAGCACTAAGGGAGTTGCGGCAGGGTGTAGAAAGTAGCCTCTTCTAGTATAAGGGAGCTTTGTAAAAAGGGAGCATGGTAAAAAGCTCCTAATTTGGGGGGACATCTCTTCTTTATATACCAAGGAGTGGGATTGCAGGTCATAGCTCTATGGTTAACATTTTGAGGGACTGATGAAGTGTTTTCCCAATCAGCTGAACAGCAATGTTTGAGGGTTCCGATTTCTCCACATTCTTGTCAACACTTGTCTGCTTTTTCCCTCCATAATGATCATGTTTCATGTGAAATAAAATGATATCTCATTGTGCTTTTCATAAAGCTGATTCTAAGCCAAAGTCTTATATTTTCAAAGTCAGCAATTTCTTGAGAATAGATTTTCTTAAAGGACAAGCATCTTCAAAGTATTAGAAATTCAGCTTCTTTCTTCCCTCTGGATTCTTTATTTTCCTTACATTAGAATTATGTAAGTACTTATTAATCTATATAAATCAATCAGAACAGGAACTCTGTTAAATTTAAGATAACTTGGAATCTAATTTCTGGCTAGACTAGCTATCCCTAGGGTGCACACAAATTAAGAGATTTTTTTATTGCCAATTGAAGAGACTATTTTATACATGCAGAGAGAACTTGCAGGTTCATTTTGCCGTTCAGGTATAGGTCTGAAATTAACACAAAAACTCTAGCCCAGACTTTAAAGCTCTGTTCTGTTCAGGGTGCATGGGACATTTTCTTGAGGGAAGTGAGCTTTATGTCTATTTGTTTGTATGCTAACAAAAGCGCACATCCCTCTTTTGACTTTTGTACTTTTCAACTCTATAATCATTTTATTTTTAAAATAATTTATTTCTCTATATTTTTATTTGATGAGGCATTATTGTCATAACTTCCTTTATTTTTGAGCATGGTAATTTCAAATTAGTGGTTAGTGCCACATAAATAAATGCTTTATTCAAGACATTTTTAAATATAATTTTGCACTTTGCCCTAAGACATGTGAACAGACACAAAATAATGTAATATGTTGTGTTTTGTAATAGTTGGAATATTTAATGAAATATTACTATATCAAACATCAAATGAACAATTGAAGTAATTGTCTTCTAATTCATCTTGAAATTATTTTGAAAAGAAAATGTTGAGATTATAAAAAGTCATTGTTTAACTGCATCTATCACACTGGTGAAGTAAAGTATTGTGATAGAGAAAATGAGGGCTTTA